CCCTCGTGTGAGAATAATGATGATGATAAAAATAAATAAGTGGAAAATCTTAAATAAATTCGGAAAAATCGATAATGAAATCTTATCAAAAAATGGAAAAACGTACCATTGTTTACACCTTAAAAGGTTTTTCACGAAAGTAAAAATTTCCATTTAAACAAACCGTACATAAATAATGATAATAATAATAATAATTTGAAACGCAAATCGTTAACCCTAATTAAAAAATTAAAATTAAATGACAAAACGCTTTTCTTTTTTTTTTTTTTTCTGTTCTTCGAATAAAACATAGAGTAATAAATTTAACGACAGTTATTGAAATATACTACTGGAAAATTCTTCGAGGAAAAACTTTAACCTTATTTTGAAATATATATGCAACCTGTCAACCGAAACTAATAATAATTTTTTTTAAATAAAACCACGACGTTACATAAATGTGCACGGTAGAATAAGAATAAGAATAAGAAAAAAAACCTTTTTACGTAACCTTTCGAAAATCCTTACGATAAAACATTTTACGTTTATTTTATTTCGCATTCTAGAATTTTCTTTATTATTATCATTATTATAAATTCTAGAAAATTTAATAGTATTATCTCGTTTTGTATAATTACATCATTTGTTAAAATTTATGTTACACGAGGGTGAAAAAAAAATATACGATAATAATAATAATAATAAAATTCTTGTCAGGTAGTAAGTCAGTAAAACCTAATTGTCAATATAACGATAAGATTAAAAACGTTTAAATGGATGTTTTACTCTCTCTCTCTCTCTCTCTCTCTCTCGTAAATTACCATTAGAAAAAAATATCGTGGTTTTAATTTTATTATGACGTACCTTTAAAATTTGTTTTTCCACCAACAACAACAACCAATCGTCGGTAAAATCCTGCGTGTGTTTGTTCGAATAAATTCATTTACTTTTATTTGGCTTTCCATGAACGTTTCATCGAACGTGTTTGCACACTCCGAAGAATCTGTAAAGTAAAAAAAAATCGTTATTAAAAATAAAAATAAAACGGTTTATCGATATCGATCGATTTCAAAATAATAATAATAATAATATTTTTGAAAATATTAAATAAATGTATACGTTTTGGAGTTATTTATTACAAACGAATGGTGAATGTTTTTATTAAATATTTTATTTATTTTTTTTTGTTACTCACACACACACACACACATCAAGGCACGATTTTCAAGGTTTTCCATGTCATCGTTAAATAACGTTTAATTGAGTATTCATATATGCCGATATACTATTTTTTTTTTTTGCATACCATCAATCATTTGTTGAATATTGTCAAATAGTGTAATAACAATACGTGTGAAAATACACTAGAGATATATTTATATTTTTTTTTTTTTTTGAAAAATTTATGTTTTTTTCATCCCTCTACATTTTTTTTTTTTTTGTTAAAAAGATATTTTTGTAATGGTCCGTAAATGAACATCAACGCGAAATATTTTTATAAATAGCTTAACACTTTTCGAAAGTAATTCAACAACAACAACAACAACGAACCCGAACCCTTTTATGTAAAAAAGCAAAATAAAAAAAGGATGATGGCGATGATAGAGAGAGAAAATTTTTTTATTTTTAGATTTTCGACATTTTTTTTTAACCGTAAAACATTTTCATTGTGTAAATTTTATATTTAGCAACCTTGAAAATGCATCAATTTTTATATATAATAAAAAATGCAAAACTGCGACTTGTGTTTTATGTTAAAGGAAAAACATAATCGAATCAGTTTTCTTTGTTTTTCCTGGAGTTTCGCCCTTCCTTTTCTAAGGAATATAAATTTTGAAATGTAAAAAATAATGCGTGTTCTACAAAAGTATATCTACCATACTTAATGTATCTTTGATTCTAATAATGACGTCATTAACAACGGTGTATGTGTGTGTGTGTGTGTGTGTGTGTGTGTGTGTGATTGTTAAATACAACGTGTAAATCTGTGTCATGGTTTTTTACCCGGTAAAGATTCGATTGAGTTAAGTTATTTTCTTTACCACATTTTAAAAGAGTTTTCCAAAAAGTACCTTAATGTAAAACTTACATGCCATCGATAATAATGCGTCAGAGTCATAGGCGAATATTATTTTACTAAGACGACTTATATATCTTAGTGTCATTGAAACTCAAATAAAAGGTCATTTTGTGACCTTCTGAATCATGTTCTGGTTGTGGACCCAAGTCTTTCACTGTTTTGTCGTAATATAAATGCGTTAGGCAAACTATTATTGACCTATTTTATCAACTAAAAAAAAAAAAAAAAAACAGTTATTAATATTTAAGATAACTATAAAAAAAAAATATTTATTTATTTATTCAAAAAAAAAAAACTTATTAATTATTTATATTAAAAAAAAATTAAAATTTTGTTTATTTTACTTTCTTTTTTTTTTTCTATCAAAATTTTAGTTATAAAATTTGAAAGGGTTTTTACAAAAAAGTAAAAGTAATATTTTTTTTAAACTCTTAATCAAAGCCCAGAATATTTTTTTGAATATTTAATTTCGATGGTATTTTTTTTTTTTTGGAAAATAATCGATTTTGTAATAAAATTGTTTTTTATTTTTTATCCAGGTGGAACAAATCACGGCTGAATATAAAGTAAGAGCTTTGCAATTTCATCCAGATAAAAACGATGGTGATAAAGAAGCAGAAATAAAATTTCAAAAAATGAAAGTGAGAATTTTGTAATAAAAAAATTTACCGAAAAGGAAAATTTTTATTACTTTTTTTTAAATGAAAATTTTTTCAGGAAGCAAAAGAAACATTGTGCGATCCGGAAAAAAGAGCAAATTATGACAAATGGAGAAACAGCGGAATATCCGTGAGTTATAAACAATGGCTCGGAATGAAAGAACACGTGCATCAGGTATTAAACTCATTTAAAAAAAAAAAAAAACAAAAAACTTTACCTCGACAAAAAAAAAAGAAAATGGAAAATTTTTGTTCCAGTCGATGCATTGGGCAACTCATAAAACCAAAGATAGAATGCTTCCTGAGGGATCGAGTTCAGCAGCTCAGAGGGCAGCAAGCAGCGGTCCTCCAGGTGCTCATCGTCGTGCATCCGAAGGCGGCGCTAACATACATTGGGGAGGTAGAGGAAACGTTCAGTGGGATTCATCAGCTTCATCTGAAATCGTCAATAAATTTCGAAATTACGAAATATAATTTTTCCGAGCTCAAACCTCCCTAAAGGTCTATATATATAATACATCTTTATAAATTTACAATTTTAATTTAATTAATGTTAATTATATATAAATGTTGTAAAGGTCCAAATGGGTTTATTTTAAAAAAAAAAAAAAACCCAAAATTCCACTTTAAATGTGATATTTGAAAAAAAAATCTTCTTATTTAGATGTTAAAAAATTTCTTTATTTATTACCTAGTTGTAAGAAAAGTTATTTCCGATAAAAGGGTAAAAGCCTTCATGCGAAACTACAAAAACTGCTAATGGATTTTATTATTATTATTATTATTACTATAAATAATACATATAAATATATCGAACTGCTTTTTTTTAACGTTAAAAATAAATCAAATCGTGTAAAAAAAAATATATATATATACGAAATATTACTTACCACAATAATTAATTATTCCACATCGGGTCCAATAATCGCAACACATTATGTTTTTATGTTTTCTGAACAAACAAAAACATTAGCCAGTTATCCAATAAATTGTTTCGCATTTAGGATAATTAAGACTGGAGAGACTGCTATATAA